ATACCTCTAGGCCACAAAAAATGCAAGAAACTAACTTTTCACTTTGCTTTACCCAGATGTACTTGTGCAGTGAGGGGAAGAAAGACACACAAACATTGAAACATATATAAATAGAGTGAGGTAAAGGCAGAAGGACTCACAGCAACCTCCCACTGCAGCTTGTCTACCCTGCCAAACATGTTGACTGCTAAACGGATGGTTAGAGTTATTGTTTGGACAGTTGCATTGTTTCTTCTGAACATCTGTATTGAGGAACACAGATACGACAGCAGGCGTGGGTAGGAAGGGAGAAGAGAATAATTTGGCTCAGTTACAACATCCGTCAATTATAAAATATAGAGAAGATGCAATGTTATTAGCCAATACTTAATCTGTTTTGAACCAACTCAATTTTAGCGTTCTCTCAGAGTGATTACTCGGTGCTCTCTGAACATGGCATTTTGAGAGACCTCTGGTTTGCACCTCTCATTTTACATTTGCAGATTGAAACATCTCTATGCCTATATCAGTTTTCTGAAAGTTCAAATACTTAGGCTTTTTCACTTTCAGAAAAGGTTTATATACTCTCAGAGAACAGGAGCAGTAACATATGTTAATATCCAGAGACTAGAACAGCCCCAGCAGAGTGTGCAGGCCCATCATAACATCGTTATTTTTAGCCATGATATCATTACAATTAACTCTGTGGAGGTTTTGAAACACAGACTTTAAAAGCTTGAGATAGAAATCTTGCTAATATGGACTTATGTGCAATAAGCTCAAAGAAAGCCGGCCCTGATTGCCTGCAACGGCGTTCAGAGACTGCACCCTGCTGGCTCCCAGCAGCATCACTTACCGCCTTACAACACCCTTTCCCTGCACTCTTCTCATGCGTCAAGAAAAGCCCATCCATGTTCCAGCTCAGGTACCCCTCATTCAACCTATACCCAGCACAGAAGCTACAGGATACTTGATCAAAATGAGCACACTCGTAATTGCTGACATGCAAAAATAAAGAAAGAAATGCTGCATTACGCTGATCTGCCAAGGCAATCGTCGTAAAATGACATTTTGCACCATCTCAGGCATTTCTCCTGTGGGCAATCCCACAAAATGACAGTGTCATTCTCAAAATATAACGAGACCTCAGGATTTTGAGGCAGCTCAAGCATTTCTGCCATCCACCAAAACCCAAAACAAAGAGAAAAAATAAAATGTGTGCTTGTTTGTAATCATTTTCAAGAATAAAACGCAGCAATGTAGATCTCAGGAATGGCTGAGCCTGCGGACTTTAATTTAGGCTGGGTATGTCAGGCCTGCAGAACCTGCTAAATTAGTGGGTTGTGTTCGCTCTCTTTTAATGACATCACACTTTGCACTTATCATTCTCTCATATTCTGTCATTCAAAACAGATCATGACAATTAAACCAAATCTGGCAGAGAAAACCCTGACAGAAAAATACAATTCTCTGTTGCGGGTGCTCTCGTACACAGCAAGATGAGCTCATTGCTCACCTAAAGTGAAAACCCAAAGTCACTAAAAAGTAATGGAAAGACGAATCTGTTTTAATGAGCTCTGAGCATCCAATTCATAGCATCCAAGGAGTACCACTTATTTAAGCTCACAGGCATTTGTTTTTACTTTTCCAGCTACTTGAAGAAAAAAAAGGCAGTGCTTTGAAAGAGAAAGTGATTTAATTCTATTCCTAATGCACTTTCTTCCACGTAAAGCTACAAAAAAAATCCCAGAACCTTTATCAATCTATTTTAATATGGGTAATCTTCATTGCTCCAGGATCAGATTTCTTGCTCTACAAAATTGCACGGTAGAATTTCTTCTTCCTGTAAACATATATAAGCTACACTGACTGGAAGCCACATTTGACATTTAAGGACATGCTGTGCCTAAAAATAAAGTACCACACATCAGCTAAACACACATATTTACATTCAGATTTTAGAAAATGGCATTGAGTTAGGACACCTAGAATTTACTCCCAGGGGCTCTCTTCTTTGGGACCTAGGTTTAAATTTAGCATTTATATATTGATTATAGTGATCATTTCCATTTTGGCTATTAAAAAACAAAAAAAAAGGTGCCCAAGGAACACCAGGAATAAATAACCAGTTAGCACGTACAGCTTGACATTATTCACTCCTGTGCACACACCACAAAGGAACTGGACTAATCAGTCTTTCAAGTGCATTTCCATTGCCTGCATGCGTGAGTTGGTTTGCATGATTTACAGCACCTAAACATTTTGTGTATGTGCCACATGTGTGTTAAGTTACAGTTATCACACACACACACATACATATATTTGTCCTGAAACACCCTGTGGGAGCAGACTAACCTGGTTCTAATTTGCACCAACACGTTCTGCCCTGGTATCTGAAAGCAGTAGTTGTGATAAGGCGCTCCATGGCAGCTTCACTCAGTCTTAGCCATGGAAAAGTTACATGTGCCTGGACAGAGAGTTGCCTTGACTTCTTCCATCATCAAAGTGAGTAGGGAAAAAAACATGCTTGAGAGGCTAAAAAAGTTAAGTTGTGCAGACAACTTAGTACACACAAGTACCCACAGCACAAAATCTCCCACAAGAAACATCCTAGATGATCTCCAACACAATACAAAAGTGCTGGTTACAGTGCACCTGCAGGTTGGCAGTGGCAATCTCTAGCACTGCCCCATCCGTGTGCACGTGCGTAATTCAGTAACTACAGTTACATCTCTGTGTCATGGATGGAGTGATTAACTTCACTGGTAAGAGAGAAGTACTCAAACATTTGTTAAGGTGAAACAGTGATTTAACAAAATTAGTAGTAAATGCGACAGTGTTTTATGAGATTCGATGTCAAGGTACACTCTATTATTTACTGCACAGAGGACAGGGTCAGACAAGCTGTCAGGGAGACCCTCCCGTTGAGTCATGAGGTTCAGAAAGGACCCCCTTGCTTTCTAAACTCCTTCTCAGAGAGGAGTCTAGGTGCGGCTGGATCCAATCCTAGCCCCAGACTTGCTCAACGGGTTGTCTAAAGGATTATATATGTGCAATCACCTCTTTATATTACTTAGCCAAGATTTCAAAGTTCACAAAGTTTAGCATGCTATCAGTCACTTACCAAGAATCTGTTGCAGAGAGAAACCTCTAAATCTCGAGGAATAATCTTGAGAGGCACAGCATGCTATCAGTCACTTACCGAGAATCTCTTGCAGAGAGAAACCTCTAAATCTCGAAGAGTAATCTTGAGAGGTGTCCCTACTCAAGGGGAAATCCAGACACCCACTGCCATACAGGAGAGCTCAAAGGGCTCTTGGGCTGTCCACTATTTATAGAGTAAGATAATTGACCTATAGTCATATTTCATGGGATCAAGATACCTAGGTCTCCCCTCCAGGCAGCGTTAGGACTGTGTTGTCAGCCATCCCCCAAAGTCCAGGTGCAACTTATCACAACCTCCACTGATGGCCAAGGCCCAGGCAGGAGCCGGGGGAGGGAGGGAGAGGAAGAGGGAGACGAATCAGGGAGAGCACACAGCCACACGCTATCAGTACCATTAAAACTAGCAGAATGCTAGAACTTGCCCTGTGGTTTTGTGCTGGGGGATTCAACTGTCTCAATCATTCAGTTCTCACAGGATGGTTACCGGTTTGATTTTGACCTGAACTCTCCCACCCAACGCCCAGGTACAGCTCAGGAATTATTCTGGAACAGGGGCCCCTCCTGACAGAACTTACTGCTATGGATGTGGGTCCCCTCTGGTAACTGAATGATCCTGGATGCTCTCTATTTACTAGACCATACAGGGGCTAGAAATTTGCCACTTAAGAATTCAACTTAACCACTCTTAACAGCTTCAGACAGCTGAGACCCTAAAGCCTGTTATTCCAGAGTTTCTGCAGTGCTTGATTCTCTGATTACAGACCTGTTGTGCAGAAACCCAGTCACACAGCTGAAGAAAATCTTTCTCCAGCAAGGTAAGCTGAACCTGGCAGAGAGGCTGAGGAAACGCCCAGGGGCTAAACATTACTAAACGACCAGATAATTGCAACTGACTGAGAAATAATCCTCCTCTCTAAAAGAAAACTGCAAAGCAAAACATACCTTAATTGGAAGGAACACACCGTGGGAGCAGAAGAAGCAAGCAGAAAGATTGCTTTGTTAATAATACCTGCTCCCAGAATAGGTCAAAACCCCTTGTGGCATTTATAGACTATTTTCTGCCCAATTAATTGAACAAAATACCTAAACTGATCTTTCCCTTACAGAAAAAAATCATTATGCTCCACAAAAATGAAAGGAATGACTGAGTAGTAGCTGTTATGTGGCCTCGATTTTTCTTAAATTATCAGGTGTAAAGCACATACACGCATATCAGTTATACATACAGTTATGCACATGATCTTTTGGAACAAATTGCACATGTGCTTTTTTATGGGTATAGACAACAAAGTGTATCCTGTAAAGTGAGAAAGAAACTATGGGGACCAAAGGAAAGACCGCCTCCTAAACTGCAGTTCAGGCAAAATACAAAGTGCCTGTTGATAGAATCACGAACACGAGACTCAGTTCCCACTGTCAAAGGGAGGTGAGTATGCTCGGGTGTTCAGGAGGGCGGACTTTGCCTTTAAGTTTCACCTCCACAACACCAAACGGAGGGGAATACAAGCCACCTCCACCAGAGCTAACCCTGTGGTGCAAGAATGTCCACGCATCTCGGAGCAGCACATTCACCCAGCCAGAGCGTGCAGTGGTGGACTGAACGGAGCTGGAGCAGAGACCCAGCTGTGAGTCAAATCCCCTCTGGAGATAACCAGATTCACTCTTTCGGCTGAGCTGGGAGAGGATGAGTCAGAAACCACAGTTATGCCCAGGAGCGAGGCGGGACGTCTTCCAGGCTGTGCTTGGGCTGAAGGGCTGAGGCAGAGGAGCGCAGGGAGTCCTACCAGAACAAAAGCACTTTTCTTTAGTGAATGTATAGCACTGGAAAGTCAGTACGAAGAATCACAGGAGACACACTCATTTAAAATATCTATTGAAATTACAAATTAAACTCTTCAATATGATTCAAAGTACAAAACACAACATTAAAAGGCATTCAACAGCTCTTTTATACATCACAGTGTTAGTGGCACAAAATGTACTTACATTTCAAATACATCAACAGAACTATTTTTACACTGGTCAAATACATTATTTATACATACGCATGACTCCTTCATGCTTATTCCTATACAAGTTTAAAATACATCCATGATAAATTGATCAAGAAAGGTTCAGTTATGCACCATGTACCTGTACCTAATGTTCCTGGAATTCTTATAAGAGAGATATACAAATCAAAGCAATAATGAAGACCACAGGGCTCTAAACACAAACAGCATGCCTTACTTAGTATAAGTGCATTAGCAATTAAGCACTGATGAAGACTTTTTTGATGTCTTTAATATCATTGTCATCAACAACCATATTCTACCTGTTTTCCTCAGGATTTTAGATCATGTATGTGAAATGTACAAACTTTGGTTTTAAAAAAGCAAACCTGCACAAAGCTTTATGCATGCTGCACCTCATTGGGATGAGAAAGGCCTGTATTAAATGCATTTATTTCTATACAGTAAAAGAACTCCAGATGAAATGCACAAAACGTCATTTTTATTTTCCTGCCCATAACAATTTTAAATCAAATGCACTTCATCTTTTTCTGATCTATGAATATTTTACCCTGTCAGCTCCATAAACAAGAGAGCTTTTGACTGATTTTGACTGCGTTTCCTGCATGTCAGGAGATCAGCTGTAAGCTGAGAGTTGATCCAGTCAGCTCTTATTTGGGATTTTGCCTAATTCATAAACTGGAGTATTTGAGGAAGGATCATGCTGCTTGGTATGTGGTATCATGTGCTTGGTATCCCGAATTCTTGGCATGAAGTCAGTAGTAGGAGGTTCTTAGGATGAATGCCAACAGGAATAAAATTGAAATATTAACATAAAACTACAGTAAGCATTTATATATAATCTTTCATCACAGAATCTTGATGAGCCTCACAACCAATGAATTTGCCCTCACAGCCCTCCTGTGAGGTAGGTAAACATTGGTCCATCCATTCCAAAGATGGTAAAATTGAGATAAAAGGAGATAAGTGACTTGTCCAATGTCACATAGGGAAAACCCAATGCTACTGCCACTGAAGTTGGGGCAGGCTCTGCTACTGGTCTCTCTCAGGACTGACTTCAGCCCAACTAATGAATGGCAAAGCCTCTCGAGTCCAGACTCCACACTCAGTGTTGCCAGACAGGATGCTACTTTACCCCAACGGAACATGCAAATGATGCACTGTTACAAACTCCATTTAAAACAGCATTTAAGACAATGCAACAAACCCTAAACAATAGCATAACCATAAAAACTCAACAGAACTCATGCAATGAATCTTATTTTTCAGGGGAACATCTATAAAGACAAAGCTGTTGTAACAGAATTTCATCTGAAAAGCAGCAGAGACAAACATTCGCTTTTCCATGGCAGGGGGTTTAAATGTCAGAGTTTAAAATAATGTATTTACAATTCAATTTTAGGGTATTAAATGTCACACTATCAACATAAGCTGTAACATAAAAATGCCCCAAACTCAATACATCACCGCCAGAAGTTGCTACTTTGGAAAAAATCAGCATTAAAAAAAAAAAAAATTCCCCGAGAAGAATACAGATGGAATGACATTTAGCAAACCTGAAAGGATTAGGTATTTGGTAAAAACATGTAGGCATATAGTCTATCCCAACAGCCGTCATGTGGAACAAGAGATATGTAATCGGAATTTTCAGTAGGAATTCAAGTATGTTGAGATCAGAGACATAGTGACAGAAGTACACAGTTTTCTGATTACCGGTGAGCATCAATTATAAACTATCATTTTAAAATGTCTGTATTTGTAAAGGACTTCTTTTTCTTTCCTTTTAAATCTGGAAATGCATTCATTTTGACGTTGATTATAAACTGGCCACACAGTACTGTGGAAAACTCGAGTTTTGCTATATCACCACATAAAGGCTGTCTCTAAGATAAAGGCACAGAGAAAATAAACCTCATACCAGGACACTCCGGTGCTGCTACCAGCCCTCTGCACCTCTGCTGCTTCCTGTCATCCCAGTAGTACCACTGGTCACTAGAGCCACCGCTGCATACAGCAAAACCCCTTAGTGATCCCAATTAGAAAATTAACAACCCTTGAAATCTTTACGTCCTGTTGTCCTGTTGTTGTGGGGTTTTTTTCTCCTCCTGTTAAATAGAATTACAAGGCCAAAGACGAATGGCCATAGTTCGAGCTTACCTGCAGGACACTGTCCTCTGCAGAAGGGTGTCCAAGACTTCTGCGCGCTGAAGCTATCTATGACTCAGGACAACCCAGGGGCTTGGCTTAGGGCTCCTCTGGGGAGACCCAGGGGCTGGGCTTAGGGCTCCTCTGGGGAGACCCAGGGGCTGGGCTTAGGGCTCCTCTGGGGAGATGGACTGAGCTGCTGCAAAGGGCTGGAGTGAGACAACGGCTCCACCGCCCGCTGAGCTCGGCGCTGCTTCACGCACCCCACATCGAACACGCTATCCAGGCTTCAGGTATTTTTGAACAACTAAGCAATTTTTAATAACAAAGATGACTAAAGTACTAAAAATACCGTGATAACAAAACCAGGTATTACAAGTAAAGATCTGAACTGTGCATCGTCACAAATAACCTGAAGATATCACAAGCAGTTCAGACTTGCTGGAAAGCAGCTATCCTTTTTATCCACGTTATAATGGCTGAGCTCATTAAAATCAAGCCAAATAAGTGAATTGCAGATAATTTCTAGCTCCCAGAGCTACAATCTGTGGTTAGATACAGTTTGAATTTGGATACCATTAAACTTGGAAGAAGGCGAGGAGAAGAAACTCGAGAGCAGTTTTATAAAAAGATAGTGGGCTTTTTCAAAATTGTACCCTACAGTCTTTTTATTTAACAGACAGACAGTATAAAATGAAAGATAATAAAGAAAGGAGTCATTTCCTTATGCTTGAGCTATGAAAACACATTCCCAGCCTGTGACAGCAGCCAGAAGCAGTTGCATTTAAGGGTCTTAATACATTTTCAGTGCAAAATTATCCTGGTTTCAACGTATTCATCTGAGTACATGGGTAACACACAGAAATAAATGATGATGAAAAACCTGCAGTTAAACTTCCGTACATAAGCTGACATACACACTTGTTTCAGATGCTTCATATTTCATGGCAAGAAGTGATTAGTCAAATTCTTGTAGGCTTTAAAATCAGAGCAAAATTGTTTTCAACAGAATATTTCTAAAGAGAAACTTAACAGTACGTTGAGGAGCACACTTTACTAACCTGGAAACACAGCACTGTGAATTCCGCAAAACTATCAAATCAAGTCAAGTGATTATGTTTCAAATGAAAACTTGTTTCATCACAGCATTGTTATTAACAGCATACACCATACATCACAGAATATTAACTCTGAAAATGGGCTAAGTAGTTTAAATGTAAAGTACAACTTCCATAAACATCCCAGGCATTTTTATTATTAACTAGAGGGATAATCCTGATGTATTTTTATACTTAAAAGGAAAGATTCATTGATAACACAAGTCTGCTAAATAGTAAAGTTAGTCCTGTATTTTTTAATAATTACCCTAAAGACAGAAGCAAGCTATCTTGAACTTCCAAAATATTTCAATAGCACAGCTATTTACACATTTGGTTTAAATAGGATTATATATATATCTATCTCTATATAAAAAAGATTAAGATACCTGGATTAGAAGTTACGTAGCCCTGTAAGTGTAGCAGAACCCTAAACAACAGCAAAAAAATAACAATTCAGAAAAACACTAGTGGTCCAGCGGTAATCAATACCATCGACGCATTTTTAAAAGAACCTTGATTAGATAGCAGGTTTGTGTCACCACGCAACCTTACAGCTTCACCAATTCATTTTTAAAATGTAGCTTTCAATCAAACAAATTTCTTATAAGACTTCAAAAAAATCCTGAAAGGCAACAGGACCAATTTTGTCCTTGCACTCTCCCCAAATTTCAAGAAAGGCATAGGATGGCCTATATGCACCTTATTGATTTTGTTATACTTGGAAAAACAGGTACTAAAAAGGACATTGTGATGGCCTTAACAAAAACAGATATGTAACAAACATGGTAAAGTCACGTTGACTATCTGATTTAAGTGATAAAAAACTTAAATATATACAGGAATAAGACACCAAATTTTGAAGCAAACGGATATGCAGAAAGTTTAGATTTGTATGCATTTTTAGCTTCTTTTGCTGATGTCATTCAGCACAGTTCCCAGTCCACCAGCAGGGCATCGGAAACTTTTTGCATTATTTTTAGCAGTATCACCTCTTCATTTCAGACAGTTACCTGGGTCCATGGTCTCCCTTTAGCACCAAACTTGCTTTCCATTACCCTCCTTGTCTATTATCAATTGATCTATGCAACAGTAGTAACAACAGTTCCTGGAACCAAGACTGTGTGTCAATGAAAAGCAGAACGGGGCAAGTAAGGCTACAGCAATGTAAGTGCAAGAGGGAAACATCAACAGCAACAATAAAATCAAAACACAAGTTTTGATGAGTCCAATCTTCTCTCAGTCTAGGTAGGTAGAGGGTCATCATCTCCTTTATTACATTTGCACTTGCAGCACAGAACAAATGGTGTAGCCAGTAGAAGGAAAGGGGAGGCCACCAAAAGCAGAAGACCAAATCCTGCAAAAATTCCTACCACCTGCAAAAGAAAGGAATAGCACTGCATTAGGGATAACAGTTGTCTAGATTCTGCTGACATCAGTGCAACATCAGTGTCCTTCAAAAGGATCTCAGCAAATGCCACTGACCTTATCAGAGCTAGGACTTCCCCCTAGGTGTAGGCTACAGTCAGCTCCTGTGATCAGCAAATGGGAGTGAAATCAGAGAGCAAACGCTCATGTGTCATTGCTCCAGCCAGAACTGTGCTCCAGCAACTCAGCTCCAGCACACAAACTGATGCAGATGGTTATTTGCCTTTTTGAGTTTTGCTCTCTCTCAAATAACTAATTAAATAACTGACTAGATACTTTTTTATTCATCAAACCTAAATATTAAGTATCAGGATAAAGACTACAAGAGAGTTAGAGGCTCCCATTATCAGGTGCTCCCCTTTTTGCTGCAGAAATCTCCCAAAAGAATCTGTCAAGGTTCTGGGGTTGTTCATGGGGAATCTGGGAAGACTCCCACAAACCTCCCACCAGCAGGAACACAACCTTGGGACTCTCAGCCACAGATTGCAAACATTATGGCCGATAGGAAGACTTGGCATATGCCAAATGCCTTTTGCGGTCAGACCTGAGCTCATCCTGCTGCCTCGGGGGATGTGACCTAGCTCTATCTAAAAGCATTTTTTTTTGCATTTACATTTATTGATCATCCTCTTCCCAGCAAGGGCAGAGAACCACAGACCTCCCCATTCTGTCGGTGTGACAAACTCTATTAGATTCTGCAGTTTAAATTTGGAAAATTATTAAAACAACATTCAAGTTAAGGTTCGGTGCCTGAGGAAGTTTCCCATTTGCCAAAGGCAACTGTAAGAGTAACGCCGCAATAATATGCCCACAAATTATTTGAGAAAATAATTTAGATTTATTCGCATGAGAGTGCCTGTGAATAATTTTGAATAATGAAGGCAGGAGCGGAATGCTAATCCGCCAGCAACACCTCACAACAGAAGGCAAAACGAAATTAAGAGTGCAGTACTCATTAAAGAATTCTTCCAGCCAGGGCTAGGCACGCCGCTTCAATTAACTGCCAAATATTTAATTAGCCATGGTGTAGCCGGAATGATTTACTAGCACTTTTGTCGGCCACGGACGATTTCTCCTTCTGATGGGTGTCCAATTCTTCCCGCAACGCCCCTACCCCGGCTGCGGGGCCGGGCGGCGCCGGGAGGTGGCGCTGCGGGACGGCGCTGCGGACCCCCCGCTCCCGGGAGCAGGAGATCAAACCTCCTTGCCCGATCACCATTATTTCTTGCCAAGGGCAATTTCTTTTTCAGCTGCCGAGGTGGGCACGTTTCATTACTCCATTCCTTTTTTTTTGGGGGTGCTGGCAAGCTGAGGCAACTGCCATTTGCCGATCTTTGCTTTTATTTACTACAGACATAAACCAAAGCTCAATTCTAACCTCTTTAAAAACCGTGAGCTGCGACTATTGCCATCCTGCTCTTTGGAGACAGCATGCCCTTGCCCAGCTTTCTGCAGCCCAGGCTAAGAGGGCACTGGTCAGGCAGAACCAATCTGGAAGTTAGCAATTCTGTCAACCAGTTTGACTACCGGTCATTTTTATGAGATATCTACTTACATCTTCCTTTCAGCCTCAATATGCCATCAAAGAATTAATTAAGTTTCATTTTGTTTGTTGTGGTTGGCTTATTTTTGTTTATTTGGGGTTTTGGGGGGTTTTATTTATTTTTTTAAACAAAACTGCCGGCTGAGTATTTTCACTGAATTTTACTGAATTTTTAGAGTTGGAAGGGACCATAGAGATCATCTAGTCCAACTCCCCTGCTGAAGCAGGATTGCCTAGAGCTTGTCAGAGCGTGTTACTCAGGACTGCATCCAGGCAGGTCTTGAAGATCTCCAGAGAAGGGGACTCCACACCCTCCCTGGGCAGCCTGTTCCAGGGCTCTGGCACCCTCACCGTGAAGAAGTTTTTCCTCATATTTGAGTGGAACCTCTTGTGTTCCAACTTGTGCCTGTTGCCCCTCGTCCTCTCACTGCGAACCACTGAAAAGAGTCTGGCTCCCTTCTCCTTCAACCCACCCTTGAGATACTTGTAAGCATTAATAAGGTCTATTACTTACTCATTTTCTACTTCTGAAGAAGTTAGTGCCCTACTCAGCATCAAGTCACTCCCTCTGACCAAGACAAATATTTTTTTTTTAAATCCACAAACAAGAAACCAAAGGCTTACCTCAATTTGCCTTGGATAAATACCCAAAGAAACTTAACATAAGGAAATGATTGCAATGTTGATTTGGCTTTAGTGGGTTTAGCAGTATTATATCCTGATTGGTAAGCAGCCATCACTTTCTCAATAGTGACCAGAACTTGAAACATCCTGTCTGTCAAACATATTTGCACTAACTACTGTGGCTAAGAACAGATCCCAAATATCAAATTAATCACTTCATATTACAGGTATATCAAGAAAGCTTATATACCCACACACTTTCTAAAATACCGTTGGCTAAGCCAAGCAAAACCAAGTTCATAGCTTAGGCATCCAGGGGTCTATGTGAAGGGAGAGGAGTATGATCCAACTCCTTTTATTTCAGTTTAGACCTGGGGTTTATTCTCTAGACTTGGGATCTATGCTGAAATGGAAAGAAATCTGTACTTCAAGAAAAGCACTTCATATCAAGCTAAGGTAGATATTTACCAGCACACAGTTAATTTAGGAAGAGATGACTCAGATACCCAGACGTCCCTGCATCTCTGAAGTGACTGTAAAGGCAGTAGATTGGACTAAGTCACACACTGGCATTTATATCACATGCACTGAAGTAGTGCAGAGAGCTCGTCCATTACCAGCATTCATGCTGGGTCCAGCAAGACTGGATCTAGACCACAAGACGTATCCCCACACACTTTGTAATTGTCCATTTGAATTTGTGCTTGAAAACTACTGATAAACTCACTGGATTACCTTCTACCCAACCTACATCAATGAGTCAACCGGAGTCCACAACAAGATACTGAGCGTACTCAGGCTAATCTCTGAATTCGGAGCTAAAGATCCTTTGCAGGGTGAACTCGCCTGCAAATAATATGGATGGTGGCAACCTGGTTTGTCCTCCAGGTTTATGGAGAACATATCTGGATTTGCACTTAACTGGCTTTGCAAGTGTACCCCTTCTAGTTGTCCGTGGCTTTCTGCCAAGGAGTGTCCACTCTGGGAAAGCTAACTGTTCCTCTCCAAGCTACTGCCCTCTTTAAATATGCTAGGAAAATCAGCTAACGTTTGGCCCAGAATGTTATCCTAAGGTGTTAAAATGAGTAAGGCAAAGGAAGCCACTTTGACAGCAGTAGACCTGTACAGCTTTTTTAAAGCTCTGAGCATTACCTGTGTTCTGTGCCAGATAACAGATGCCCTGGAGTGTCCCAGCTTGTTTCGACAAGGTCCTTTGTCGTAATGTATTAGGAGAAAATCATCCTACAAAATATTAAATGAAAAGGCAGGAAATAAACAGAAGTACAAACTGTTCTTCAAGTTATAAAATACTATTTCCTGAGAACTTCTAACGAATTGTACAGGGAGATTAAAGCTTAGTAAAGTGGATATGGCCAGGTCCAACCTTTCCAAAGTGCTTTGTCTACAGTTAAGCATCTTCACAAACAGGTTTGTTTAGCACGTGTTATATATATCTATAATGAATCCTTCTCCCAAAGGATCTCAAGATGGATATTTAAATGCTAGTATGAAGTTTAGCAGAAGGATCCAAAAAGAAAAGCTGACCATCGCATATCTTTTACACACATGTGAGAAGAACAAAGGAAAATGAATACTTGTACCACAGAATTCCCAAATCTGGTTCCTTTAACAAGCTGAAGAACAAAAGTACAGTACAGATTTTTGAGAAACGATGTCCCTATCTGTCCTGCCATCCTTTCACAAACCAGCCAAGATATCAGGCCTAGTACCAAGGGAACAACACTGCTTTTTAACTAAGCATGTGAGAAGCCTGTGACTTAAGGACTGTTAGTAAAGCATTCAAACGGGACAAACACAGGATCTGAATAGTCAGAGTAACTTCAGGAACCTAAAACATTTCCTTTGCTATTGTCAACAATGCTATAAAATAAAACAGATGACATGGAAACAGACGTTGTATATTGTATATACTCTGATCCTTGGGCACGATAACAGGCTGATTTAAAAAAAACAACCATAAACATATGACAGCAGGATCTTATATACTGACAAATTCCTGGTGTTAGGAGAACATTGTATTCTTTTTCATATGTCAGATCTATTTCTTGTCCTACAGAATACAATGAATGGTAAACAAATCTGCTGATAGTCTCCTGCATGGTGACGCACCAAATCTAGAGTTTGTTAAATTTCCACAGACTAAGAACATTGCTTTACTCATCCCGTAACTCCTTCAAGAAGGGCAACATTGAAAAGTCAGTACCAAATGACATGTTATTAAAAAAAAAGCAAAAAAAAAAGCAGCAACGCCCCTCCACCGTGCTAGTTTTAAAGACTGTAAATAGAGTATTTTCAAAGAGAATAGAATTTTTAATAATTATTTAATGACACGAATAGGGAAACTGCTAAGATCACACAGGTCAGACAAATAAAACAGAGCATACAAATCCTATCAAATTACCAGTGTCAGCTCTGGTGGGCTGCGGGCCACTAAGTTGGGCAGAAGCTAGTGAGCTACTATTAAATTGATTAACGAGACAGCTGGATGGCAAAGCAACGAACTTCTAAGCTTCTGAGAACCAGAGTGCATGGCATGTACTCACATCAAGAGATTCCAGACAGTACCAGCAAAAGGCATGTTTGCAGTTCTTACACATCATTTGGGCACAGCCTTCATCCCGTTCAATGTAAACTTTACACTTTGGACAGCGTTTGATTGGAGCATCATCTTCTTCCATTTTAAAAACTGAACTGTGGGAGAGAGTGAGAAATTAGTAAGATGTGTGGCCCTGTCAGTTTAGAGAAGAACGTCTAAGAACTGTGCTAAGAAAAGAAGCCTACTTTTTCCTTTAAAAACAAAAAAAAAAAAAAAGAGAAATTACTAGAGATCCAGGTATTCTAGTTTTCAAACATATCTCTAGAAAAAAATGTCTAATGACCACAGTGCCTACGTCAGGCTAATTTCTTTACCATGTATTTTACCAACTATTTTTAATATCTAGTAATACTAATAGATATTATACAGTTTTCTCCTGGAATATATCAGATGAGCAGCAGCTACTTCACACTTAAAGACTTTGTATGTCTGGATAATTTTCCTCTTTCCTCCCTCCTTTCTCAGAGTAGAAGAGGAAGCAATCCTTTGATGGCACAAGTCCAAACCACATTTCTTCAGGCTGGGTCACCAGTGAGAGATTGCTTGTCTCTGCCCTCCTTGAGGATCCTCCCCTACTAATTTCCTTCCAAATCAGAAACCATGAGGTTTTGGGGGCATGTCGTTCTTTTAGAGTTGATCTCTTCATCTCTAACACTGTCCTAATGAGTCCTGGTTCATGAGTTAGGGTCAGTACCACCTCTTGTATTGCACCACTGGGCAAAACCATAGGGTGCCCCCTCATATAGTGGGCACAACACAGAAGAATGTGGAAACATTAGAAGGACATTTATTTCCCTTGAGTAGCTTTCTACCATATGCAGGTTTTATGCACAGCAACAACTAAAATGTAGCTTAACGAATGACACTTCCTGCAGTCACTGCCAGTGGGAGATACAAGAATGACTGATGGGGAACCAACAGTTTATTGGAAAACAGGACTGACCCTTGACTGATTGATTGATTGATGGATTTGCTCAACAGCAGGATAAAAGGACATACACTCGTTAGTCACACTAGGGGCAACCGTATTACAGAAAAATGCTTTAAATCCATAAACTCTATGTGAAACTCCAAATGCATAGGAGCACAAACTGCTACTGGCACATTATGCTCCAAAATAATGAAAAAACCAAATCTCAATGAAGTAAAAAATGAAGCATGAAATAAAAACTAAAAGCAACCAAAACACTAAGGAAAATAAATAAACGTTTTTATCTTGCCATGAAGTTTAGTGAGCTTCAGTTCTGGTCCCGGACACACAAAAAGCATGTGCAAAGGTTACTATATTTGACCAGGAACTCACAACAGCATCCTAGCTAGTCATCTGTTCCCACAAAGCTTGAAAGAAGACAAGTTATGAATAGCTAAGTCCAAGGCTGGCCAGGGCTTTAATGATACCTTGAAATGCTATACAATCTTTGAAAAAGCCCAAACATTAAGTAGGACTCATGCACAATGGCCTTTCTTGCTCACTGGCTGCAGTAAGCCACTGGAAACAGCTTGAAGAAAAACTTAACATCATTGGCCAAATGTGCAGCAGTGACGATAACTGACAGGGTATCCTAAAAATCACCATCTGGCATGATGTTACCAACCCTCACACCATCCAGAATAGCTGCAGCAATGAGATCTTCTCTGAAGGGAAGCTCATGAGCTGCCTGGGTATCATGTTTTTCCCACTGGGGCAAAAGGGTGGCTGATAGAGGCTCAAGCAGTTCCTTTGTGTTTTGCTGGGAATGGTGGCAAGGAGTGAGGCTGCCAAGAGCTATCCAGATTTGTAATACAGCATTAAAGGAACAGGAATGTCAAAGTGAAGGAAATAGCTTTAACACAAAATACCAGGAAAACGCCTCTTTACTATTCATACTCTGGATTGTTCAAAGATGGATTTTTTTTTTTTTAAATACTTGATCTTTTGCAATACTTTACCTTGTTTCTCCTGGAAGAAAAGAGATTGGCATGTTCTCTTGACAGCCTTGACCTGGATGCCAATTAGATTTGCAAGCAGAGCAGAACTCAATGTCGCAGGCTTTGCACTGGACCAGCTGGGGGTCCTGTGGGCTTGGCTGCTGGAGCTGGCAAACTGCCTGGCAAGTAGAGGATGGACACCAAGTCCGACACGGATCCAAAAGCACTTCTGTGAAGGGGCATAAAAGAGCAAAATTCAAAGGCGGTTACAAGAGCAGCCTTCCATAACAATGTATCCCAGCTGAGGTTGACTGGCAGGGCAACTGAAGACATGCATTTTCAAAAGAAGCCTTTTAATTTATGCTACCCACGCAGACATAAATCTGGTCTGCTTTGCAAACAGGTGCCAAACTAAAGTGAGTTTCCCAAGTTTGAATTAATTGCCCGCTTTCATTCACCAAACTAAACTTGTTCTGAGAACGACATGCTAGCTTTTTTTTCAGTTGTACTTAAGTAGAGCATATACTATGGAGGTATAATTCATCAGAAAGTGTTCTTATGATGCCTTGCCCAGTAGGACTCTGTTTTTGGCCTCTGCCCTAATGTAACCATATGATTAACAATAGCATAAGACTGTTATCCAGTTTCACCCCTTTCTTGGAGGCTGCTGGTAAGTCATTTCATGGTTCAAAGCCCACTGAAGTCAACAAAAACCTACTGATGACTTCAGTGGTTTCTAGGCTGAGTCCTGCCCTCAGCAAAAACTTACTGTAAGTTCTCTATGGCCACACAGTTCCACATACCCATAGGCACCCACTCAGCTTATATCCTCATCAAAATTAACAAGGCTCATGTTATCATCACACTCAGAACCACCCAGTAATTCTGCTATCACAGATGCCATCACAGGAGATACTGGTGGCTTCATAAGAGTACTGGTAGTCCAATCAAAGAGCAAAGCTCAAAATAGAAGTCACTCCTTCCCCTAGTTATAGCGCAATATAATACATAGCAATTTTCTTTCCTTAGCTTATTCCCAGAACGTTGCAATTCTGGGAATCATGCAGGCAAGAACAGAAAAATTGTTTTTCATTTTTGGGGGATTTTTTTTTGTGATGACCAACAATTAGGGCACAATGCTACTGCATGAACATGTGCAGAGCCAGATTCTGATTTTTGGGATCGCTCTGGAGTGATCCCGTTCCCACAGCCTTGTAATAGGTAGCATGACATGAGTTACCTCTTTCAAATTGTAGCTTCTTATACCTTTGCATGATTTCTGATGCAACCATGCACTCAATCTGTTGAAGGAAGGAAAAGATAAATTTCCAATTAGGAACAGCAATAATCTAAGGCATTTTCAACAAATGGAGACAAAATATTTGACCTTCACAGAATTATTAAAAATGTGTGTTGGCAACAGTGGCAGCTGTAACATACAGAGCAAGACATACTTAAACTTCCCTTCCTAGAAAGAAGGAAAAAAAAAAACCTATTTGCAATACAAGTGTACCTCATTTTCTTGCAGATGGCCTCGCTTTGGGCAGGCAGCATCAGGGCAGCTGATTGCTGTTTCTAGACCTTCTTTGATCAAAAGTTCCACATACTGTTTTAGGCACTGAAAGAGAGCCAAAGACCGAATTAGCTATCCCATCAAGAATAAATCACTCAGCATTTTAAAAGCTTTCCTCTGAAAATCTGAAGAACTCAAAGTTCATTGAAAAAACAGATAATACTGTGTCCCTTTTACAACCATGGACCATGCTCAAAGCTTTTGCCGTGATTATACCTTTAAATAGAAAACAGCAAGTTAATTTCCCCATTAAATAACTCCTCCTTAATTTAAAATATGCAGCAAATTAAAAAATAACAAGAACAGGGAAAAGGACAAATCAAACAAGGAGCTGGGGGGGAGGAGGAGGGAATAATAAAAACCCACCAGGATAAAATTAGATTAACCACACTCTAAAAATCTTTATGTGACTGGAAACCACAACACAGCTTAGTAAGCAGTAACTACCCATAGACAGGCATCTGTCAAACATACCAGAAAGCAAAAGGGAGTGGTGTATCTTGCCTTCTATTTCTAGAAAATAACTATCTGAACTTCATGGTTAAAGATACATCTTTTCCATAGGAAGGAAAAATGTGAGAATTAGGACTCCCAGAAGAACTACAGTTTCCATGGGGACCGAATAATAAATATTGGTAATACTAATACTTTTCTTCCCTAGCAACCACAGCATTTTACCCAAGTCATAACTGAAAACGTAGCATCTAACCCAGCAGTGCACAGCACGACTGGCAACAAAACAGAAAGGTGGATATTTGAGACTAAGGGCAAATAAAGTACAAACCTTGTTATCTCTGAAAAGGAACCACCCTCCTCCACCTCCATACTTTCCACTAGCTATTGCATAGGTGTCTGCTGGGGAGGCGAGGGGAGTGACAGAGAGAGACATAGTCTTCTCCCTGCAGATACTGTGCAACTTCTGCCACCCGGACGCTACACAGAAAGAGCAAACAAGGGTCAGCTTCCCAGTTGATGGGTCACCCTTGGTGTTCTCGCCCTGCTTCTGCGCTCAGCTGGCAATGGCAAACTGGAGACAACTACAGAAAGTAGGTCTCTAACTCTCTGTCGTTAGATATGTGAATAAAGACCGAGGCTAGAGCAACATCAGAGTGAAATGAAGACACAAGACAAGCTCAGCATACAGCTGGGTGGGAGGCGAGAAGGATTACACACTCTGCAGCAAGCTGGCAAAACAGGGACTTCAAGTACCATTTCCAGACAGAACTTGCAAAAGGTATGGAGCTGCTGATCCGCCGTCAGCCTGGGAAGGCCAAGGGCTGCATTGACCTTGCCGAGGCCAACAAGCCCACCTGCAGGTCAGAGCACAAAACTGCTTCTTCCTTCCAACCACACCATCCAGCAGGACCACCAAGGAGCACATTTCCAGCCTAACCCTTTACACATGGTTCGTGGCTGCTAAGGTCCAGACTTTAGAGTCTAGTTGTTCAGCCTCTTTTTTTTCTGTTGTGCCTCTTGATAGGTCTATTCAGCTCTTTTCAGAGACTCTATCGCTTATATTAACATTTTATTTTAGATTTTACCTCTTGCAGCTTGATTGCAGCAAAAACTTCACTTCCTGCCCACATAATTTCTGCTGTGCTGGTACACAGCTTTTCTGGTGGCAACATGCTGACACCTTGATAGCACGACAACTCATTTCTTTCAGGCTTCCCTTCCCTGTGTCTCCTACTCAACAGAGACAACAGGTCTATTTTTTGGAAACGAAAACCAGAGACTGGATAATTGAAATCTTTAAAAGTTTTATATATGAAAAAACCCATATGTGATAGATCATGGTCTACGTCTTCCTCTTTATCAACAAGGATTTAATGAAGACAACTGTGCGCTCAGTACACGTTTGAATTGGAGAAGGTTTCCAAGACTTCGCTTTGAGCTCTGTAGGGTGGGTGGTGGAGCAGTTCAAGAGAACACAAGCAGCAATCACAGCAGGCTGAACTCTGCAAGAACCTAGTCCTAGGTTGTGTGCCTTGGCAAACTGCAATTTCAGCTGCAGGGAGTGTTGCCATAATGACACTGTTGGCTCTTCCCATTCCCCTCCATTTGCAGATGCCAAGTGTGGATTAAAATGAAAAAGCATACATTTTTAATGCTAGCACTTAGCGCTTATAGAAAGTACTTTTCAAGCTGAATGATCTTTGCCGTCATTAATCATTAATGCAGTTAATTCTCTTCCTCAACCTGTTTGGGACCACTGCCCAAGCCCATTCGATTTGTTTCCCTTTCCTCACATCTTCCAAGGAATGACACAGCTCATCCCTGCTACGAGCAGCATCCAGGACCCTCCCACTCCCTTGATGTGGCACTGGCCCCTACCTTCTCAAAACCAGCCCAGCTAAAGTGCACTTCTTACGTTACACCTTCTGGGAACACAGAAGCTGTCTCGAGGCCATGAAATATCACTGTAAATTAGGCAGTGGATAAAACACTCTGTCCATTTGAGACTTCCTCACTCCAGAGATTTCTTGGGTGGAGCAGGAGTAACCCAACGTCGTTGCAAGAGAATGTGAAGCACAGTGTAGCTAGGGCTTCTCTTGAGAGCGGACACAAGATATGTCACTTGTGTCTGAAAATTTTAAACTGGCTACAGTGCGAGAAATGCACCAGCACACAAGCAAAACAACATGGTAGGATCAGGTATTCAGTTATATACTATGAAAAATTCATTACAAAACAGCTACAAAGAGATGACAAATAAACTCTTGCTGATTTTCTTTGCAGCTTGTAGTTGATCCCATGCCAGAAGAAAATATATTCATAGCCTTTCCACTAAGACAGCACTGTATAAGATGAACAAAAAATGTGTAAGTCACCGCAAACAACTTTCAAAATGAACTGTATTACATAGTTTTTCTCGGAGAAAGGAGGAGTTGAAATTAGGTAGCTAAGGGCTGAGGTTGGAATAAAATCACAAGATACCCTACTTGTTGTACAACGATGCTTAAAAAATCAATATGCTGAAGAGGATCTTTATTCTTCCGTTAATGGATGTGTGCCAATGGAAAGTTACTTTTATTTGAAGCAATACTTTTGCTAAATCCCACTTGTTTCTTTCTTGAAAAAAAACCCCTTTTTGTAGTTCAGTAAGTAAACAAATAAATGTTATTTAAGTAAGTCACACTTGGAGATACTCTAAACCTATCAAACACTGATGGTGGTTATTCTGTACATTTCTGCTTAAGTATATAATATGAAATAATGAAGCCAGGGTAAGACTTAGCATTTCACAAAAAAAAATAATCTTTACTGTACCAAGTAGGTCTTAAGAGGAAACATTTCCCTTGCCTTCAGTTTTGTACTTCGTTTCTGTATCTGACAATCTTCAGCTGGAGTAAGGAAGACCTGCCCATCCAGCATGAAGAGATGACCAAGTGTGTAAGCTTTTAGTCATTAGTCCAGCTACGCTAACAAACCACGTTTGTGCTTCTACTCCTTTCCTAGTCCAGAACTAAAACATGTTAGTTTATAACAATCATTAGGCAAGTTACTCTGTTTTATGCTGCTGATGCAACAAAGAAACAGGTAACCGTAGTAGCTTAGATTTCTGTCCAGCATGCATATTCAGGAGAGGAAAAGAACAATTAGCATCATAGAATTGTCCAGGCTGGAAGGGACCTCCAAAGGTTATCTAGTCCGACCTCCCCGCAGTCAGCAGGGACACCCCCAGCTAGACCAGGTTGCCCAGGGCCTCATTATTATATGATAGGACACTACTAAGGTTGTTTGGCTTCCTTAACTATACAAATCTAGACTTAACATCCATTTTGCAACTTCATATATTTTTAAATTAAAAGGAAATTGTAATAAACTACCATATGTGAATGTTAGACAGGGAACTCCATGAAAATTGCAATATAACTTTTGCAATTTCCTGTAGACAAAGGAAAGCAAAGCACTGCACAACATATGTGTTATATATAAACTAGATATAGACTATATAAACTATATATACAATTCATATATATAAACTATATTTGAAACTTTATATAAAATTATATAAACTGCAGGTCAAGACACATCGCATGCCCCAGTTGCTGCCAAGATCAGCCAGAAGAGCCCACTCAGCTCCCCCGAGCGTTACACCTGTGTTTGTCCCTGTGTCCGCATGCTCCGTGTGCATCCCTGCTCTGTCCTCTTTCTGCACATCACTGCTGTCCTTCCAGGTGTCTGGATGGCTTTTTCTTTCACCTTGTAATCCAAGAATCCTACTGTTGTTTGATGTCCTCACGACAAAGAGCAGGAGCACATCCACTTTGAGGAGTTTCACCCAGATCCATTCTCTCACAAGGACCAACCAAGAGCCCAGCTCAGCTGCAGTTTTACTGTCACCTGCCTATATAAATTAGGAAAAGTTTTTTTTTTGCCTCAGCCTCGGATACAGATGGCTAAGAAAGGAATGGCTTCCTTTCTAAAGCTGCCAAGCACAGCCTAATATTTAAGGCTCTGCAAGATGTGTTGTGCTTCTAACCTTTGTACATCAAAGACTGGACCACACAGACAGGTATATTCAGTCACTACTGATGTGCTGTTGCTTTAGAGCTGCACAGTGTTTTGCCTAACATTATGAAGATCACAATACCCTATGAGAATCAAAATGGTTACTTTTGGCCTAATTTCCAAACCATAACACACAACTTTACTCAGCTGTATTTAACTAACAAACCTGGATGGGCGACAGCAAAATCTTAATATAAAGAATTAAAATATCTGGCTTTCAATTTCAATTCAGGAGCATCTGAGCAACAATTACCCCTATTTCTGATGATGGCACTTTGACTTATTTCTCCCGACACCTGAAACCAAACAAAACCATCATAATTCATAAGAAGGAATCTGACTTTCATTGTTTCCATGTGAAGCAACATTTATCTATCATCTACTTTGACAGAAAAATGTGTTCACTTGGTGCCTAAGGTAATTTTACAATACAAAATGCATATAATTAAAAACACTTGAAGATATTTTTGGTGAACATCTTCATTTTTTTAAACAGAAGAACATACCTTTTTGAAATGTTACAACACATT